TTAAGGAGCTTCGAGCGAATCTGATGTGAAAAATAATTTCCAAATATTAAATATTAAATTTCAAAAATCACATTTTTTATCTCCTTATACACGGGCTCTTATGGCGGACAAACGTTTAGTCGAGACTTTAATTATTTTTTTCAATATTAACCTCCCAACTTTAACGAATAAAAAATTATACACGCAAAACTTGGATTATTGTAAAATATAAAAAAAATTTAATAATAATACATTACCGATATAATTTGTTGAAATATTTAAAGTTTAATTTAATGTTTTTGACTGGTTTATCGTCAACTATTTATTCGAATAAAGATTTGGCAACGTCGCGTCAACAGCTGAGAAAAAACAAAAGGATAGAAATATAGTTACAGAGAGAGAAATATTTAACTGACACACTCGTCCACGTCTCTGTAATGGGTATAATCAAGCGCGCTGTTGCCAAATCTGTTTATTTAATCCGGCAATTAATAAATACCAAAGTCATTTTATTACTTTATTTTATTAAATAAGTAAAAGTCATCAATTATTAAATTGTTCAAATTATTTTAAATTGAAATAAAGAATTTTGACGAATATCGGAAATACTGAAAGTAAAAAAAAATTTTAACATTATTTTGACTCATAACTTACGCCCGAACCACCTTAAGAGATTTTTTTTTCAACTTCCCGCTAAGAAAAAATTGAAATTTTTTTTTTATTACTTCTAGAATGAAATTATTCAACATAATTAATCCAAATTAAATTTAATAGTACAAAATACGGTGACATCTCTATTAATACGCTCGGAAAAAAAAATAACAAAATTTAAATGGATGTTTAAGTTGTAGGAGCGTGAGGTTTAAAAAATAAAAATCCAGAATGTAATAGCGAATTTATAAAAAATTCGTAATAAAACGATTTTTAACAATTGATAAAAAAATGGAGAGGAGGATGAGAATGAACAAGAATGAGGATGAGGTAAATCAGCATCAGATGGTCGAGAGTCGAATTTTAGATTCGCGGAAATCATATGGAGTATTCGCGCTTCAAGATACTCTGAATGTTGAATATTCCCCCGCATTCTATATAGGTATATAGCATATATATGTTCGTACGAACCGAAATTCTTCCCTCTATGTCTGTTATCGTTGATTATAGATTCCACCCGGTAAAAGCCGTCGCTTGTTCTGATTTTTAAATAGTTTTTGATCGATTGATTTATAAACGGAATGTTTTTTAGTTATTCCAAAGCTTACTCAAAAATAATAAAAATTTTACAATTGGCTAATTTTTAAATATTTGCAAAGTCAACATTAAAAAAAAAAAAATAATATTTATCCTCACAATTTCACACTGAAAAAAAAGTTTAAGTCTTATTGGTATACTCTTTTTTAATGAATTGGTATTGCGAATATGATGTAAAAGAGTTTAAGTACACGGGAAGAAATTTCTGGGAAAATTTACGATACAACTATTGTAAAGCTGGACTATACCTTTATTACTATTAATTATCAAATATTTTAGAAGAAAAAATACTATTTATTAATGAAAAAATACGATATTACTATTGTAAAAAGTAAGAGATGAAAATTTCGAGTGGTGCCTCTGTATCTTTCCAATAGAACTATAGCAAATTTTACAATAGTTGAATTGGAATGTCTCTTAATTAGTGTGAGTGATGGCCGTGCACAGCGCTAGACTCTGAGTTTATATAAATGTTAAAGGACGTGGGTCTTAGTTTACCGCGGATAGCCTAAAGGGAGAGTCTCTGGCTACCAACACAGAGTTCTGGGTTCGATTCCCAGATAGCACGAAAATATTTGTTTCTTTTTTCGATTACTGTACAGGTACCAATTTGTGCAACCTTCTATCTCTCTCCCTCCCTAATATTTCTTTTAAAAAAACCAACTGTGAATTTTTACAATAGTTGAATTGTAAAGTTCACAAACACATATTGTATAATTTGCTCTATAGTATTCGACTTTTTAAAACTCTTGTTAGTCTTATTTGTTGAATAAAATTTACAATAGTAGATCGTAAAAATTACTAAATGAGAAGTATAGTCCACCGTTACTATTTTATTTAGTAAAAATTACAATAGTAGAATAGTAATAACTCCTTCAATTTTCTTCCCGTGTACGATACTATTGCAAGTCTAGAGAGTATAGTAAAAAAAGTTCCCGTGTAAAAATAAAAACATTGTCAATCGAGATTAACCTAAATTACAATAATTGTAACATTAGTGTTTTAACTATTATTTTTTAATAAATAAAATTAAAAAAATTAAATAAATTACCAAAAAATAAAAAAAATATTAACATATGTGAGTCGCCAGGAACAACTTAGATATTGTTAATTTTTAAAAATTTTAATAAGCAAACATCTGACAGCTCTTATGAGTTTTTCATAAGTACAAAATGACTATAAAATCAAATAAATATTTGGAAAAGGTAAAAAATTTCGAAAAAGGTTTAAAAAAAATCTTGGTTTAATATAAGTAATTTTTTTAATTGGATCAAAACGTTGTCAGACGTTTGTTAATTTTAGAATCATTTCTATATTTTCTTTGGGAGGAATTCTTTTGATAATAAGTATTCGTTAAAATTCATATTTAGATGAAGAAATTGATAAGGCAGCTTTTGCCAATTTAACAGAAGAGGTAATAAAAAGAATTATTTCAAAAGCTGGCCCTCAAATCAAGTTCTGGTTCAAATGGAAAGTGGAATTTAGTGATACTTTTGTCCTTCAACCCGTAGGAATACCTAACATTAGTTATTTGTTTCAGTACTGTTGATTTCTATTCAATTTAATTAATTATTCCGATCAATCATTTATAATTGTACGATCTAACCATTACTAAAATTATTATTTGGACATTAAAGATTTTAAAAACTAATTATACGAATATCAATATATCTTATCATATATACTAAATTAATATTCTGGGATTTAAATTATAATTATTATTAACTATTTATTAATTTTTAAACAAATTTAATTTTTAAATTAATGAGTTGATCGTAATGTCTTTAACCTACAGCAATGAGCTTGTTCAGCCGAACTAAGTCCTGAGTAAACTTAGTTAGCCTAAGTATAGTCAAAGCATTCCCTGCTATACATATATCTATCTACTATACTATACATATCTTACTAAGTTTACTCAGGACTTAGTTCGGCTGAACACGCTCAATATTTATTTGAGAGTATTGTGGTTATGAGTATTGCGCAGGCGCTCTCGGTTTAAGTGTATGACTTAAACGAGTTTCAGTGTAGCGCTTAAAAAATATTGCGTTGAGACTTAAATATTGTTTAAGTATATTCGCAATACCAAGTATTTCAATATCACTGGAACTTATAAGTAGAAGACTCATACTTTTTTTTCAGTGCAGTCTCGTTTCAAAATATTTACATCTCTTAATTAAAAAAAATCTCTGTTAAAGAATTTTATTATTTTTAAACGCGGTACATATATATTTTACCCAACTATTTTTTTCTCTGGGTCTGAGGCCGGTAAAATTGATTCAAGACAGTACCGACTTCTTTTAAGAATACCGCATTTTTTCAGGTTATTTTACTTGCTTCAAAAATATATCTATTAATTTTTCAATTATTAACCAATTAATTTCTACACTACTCACATCAAATCCTGATTATAAAATTAAATACATTTTTTTATTTATAAAAATTTTTGTTAACAATTATTAGAGATTACATGTAGTTACAATTATATTAGATTTTGTTCTAATAAAAATTGTATTTATTTATGCAATACAATAATAATTAACCGCGAAGACGGTCTTTAGATTAAAGAAATAAAAACTTACAACTAACCTAAAAAAAATTACGTCGTCCGTAATACGGCTATTTGCTGACGCGCCATCTAGTGTTTTTTTTATTTATCACAATTATTTTCAGTTCTTACTATGGTAAAAAATTCATGCATTTTGGAACTTATTAATTATTTATAAAAAATACTAGAGCCCAGGTGCAGTGATAAACTAAAATTTATATTCTTCTGATTGACAAAAAAAAAAAAAAAAACATGGGAAAAGTAGTCACGCATACTAAACAGATAATTTAAAAGAGCTCGCATTGAATATTGATGACCGGAATAAATAAAAAAAATTGTAATGTATATTAATTTCCATAGCGAATATATGTGGGCACTATTGACGGAATACTAATTAAAGCTTATCCGGTTTTTTCTCTGATTTTCTGGTGATTTTTATTTTTATATTTAATTTATTTTTATTTACACCAGACAGTGGAATGGAAAATTTTTTAATTCCTATAAAACGATCAAGTACTTTAAAAATTTATCTCTAACTTTTTGCTAAATTAAATGGAAAGACAACTTATTAAACCGAAAATCTAAAGTTCTTTAATGAAAATGGAATTATTTCAAATGTTAGAGAACTTTTTACGGTTTTAAAATTTTTTTACTTACCGACTGAAGATAATTTTCCCTTGAATTAAGTGACAATATTTATCGACCGAAGGTTCAGGTGTCTTGAGCCAAGAACTCAGAATTCAAGAGAAAAATATTTTCTTGGCTCCTTTTTTTCTGTGAAGAATAAAATAAAATCTATAAAATTAATGAACTTTTATATATTTTTGCATAAATAGCTCAAGTTGAATTAGCAAGACATTTTATAACTCATTAAGAAGTTATTACTTACAATACAACTTGTCTGTACTTAATTACTGTAGAAGGGGAGGAATAATAATTATAATAATCATACTAATAATAATAATGTGTAGTGAGTAGAAGGTCATGAATTAATTAAATATCTTCAGGCTAAGCCTTTGAGACATGTCTTCATTTACATTCGCATATAGATGTTTAATATTGAACTTGAAATTTGCATTACATTCGTATACATTACTATTATTAATGTTTAATATCAACGTGATTCTGGGCAGAAAAGTTCCCTTTTTATTTTTATTTCAATGGATTTTATAAAAAAGTTACAAAAAATATCTGAAGATTAGAATAGTATAGTAGGATAGTTTCAAACTCATGTGAGTCGTTTTACGTGGTCGGTTTTCTTCCGAGACGTTTTTATGAAGCCGAGAAACTGGAGCTCGGCAACGGCTCGAGTGAAACGTGCTCTGATTTATTTGTTAAGAAAATTAATCGTTATATTTGGTTAGCTATCATTTTCAGTGGTAGTTTTATATTTTTGTAAAAGGATACTGTATTTCGGGATCCACTTCTGTTTGTTCTGATTCGTGGTTAGGATTCACGACCATTAAAAATGCCTGAAAATTATTTTTTACATAAATTAGTACACTACAAGAATAAATAAAAAAATAATTTTAATATGTTAATTACAAGAAATTAATTTTATTGAAAATTCAATTTTAAAGCTCGTTTAAATTTTCCCGCGAGTATTTTTTTCATACGAATTGAACGCCCTCTTTCGTTCCGATAAGTGAATCATAAAAAAGAACCAATTAAAGACTGTATTACCTTTGGTCAGCCAGCGAACACAATTGAGTATAGTATCAGCTGTCTTCAAGCTGTATTTACAAATAAATTTTTATAAATGGCTGCTCAAAGGACAGAAAATTTCTCCAACTGCCAGCCGAAAAAAATTAATTATAATTAAACAAAAGAATATTAAGCTTTAATTTTCAATACGCAATTTCCCATAAGGCAGATGAAGAGATTAAAAAATAAATAGAGTTGAAAAATTTATTTTTTCAAAAGTTATCGTGTTTGCCCCTCCATAAAAACTTTAAAAATCCACACCAGCCATTAAAACGACTTTTTTATGTAAAAATAGCAATTAATCGATTTAAAAAAAATTTTATAACTATTAAGCAAGCTAATAACCTCGAAATTACTGACCAAACTCGTCTGTTTTATAATTACTGCACATAATTTTAATTACATTTGAATGATACCGCGATTATTCAAATACAAAATAATTTTTACGATTATAATTACAATTAACAAAATAATTAGTCAATTAAAATGAAAGCACACGATCGTTGGAACTCATTTTCGGCAAAACCTCACGTTTATTTAATCATTATATCCAACTCATTCGAAACTAATAATTTTCTGCGTAATTATCGGGTTAATCAATTTTATTAATCAACAAAAAATAATTAACTTTATTGAAATGTTACGAGTAATAAGTAATGCAACTCATTATTCATTATTAAAAAATTGTAAAATTAATGAAGTTTAATAAAAAATGAATTCAGTCTTCCCAATATTCGTCAAAATTCTTTATTTCAATTTAAAATAATTTGAACAATTTAATAATTGATGACTTTTACTTATTTAATAAAATAAAGTAATAAAATGACTTTGGTATTTATTAATTGCCGGATTAAATAAACAGATTTGGCAACAGCGCGCTTGATTATACCCATTACAGAGACGTGAACGAGTGTGTCAGTTAAATATTTCTCTCTCTGTAACTATATTTCTATCCTTTTGTTTTTTCTCAGCTGTTGACGCGACGTTACCAAATCTTTATTCGAATAAATAGCTGACGATAAACCAGTCAAAAACATTAAATTAAACTTTAAATATTTCAACAAATTATATCGGTAATGTATTATTATTAAATTTTTTTTATATTTTACAATAATCCAAGTTTTGCGTGTATAGTTTTTTATTCGTTAAAGTTGGGAGGTTAATATTGAAAAAAATAATGAAAGTCTCGACTAAACGTTTGTCCGCCATAAGAGCCCGTGTATAAGGAGATAAAAAATATGATTTTTGAAATTTAATATCTAAGTAACTAAACGGTGAATCTTTTTTCAATTTTTCGATTAGATAAATCACGTATTTATTTATACGTATACTTAATTTCAAAGCTCAAAGTTGGAAATTATTTTTCACATTAGATTCGCTCGGACCTCGATCCTTACCGAGTAACTTATAGAATATTTATACGGACTGGATAGACGAATAAGTAGTTGTAGATGGCGACGAAACAAGGTGATTTAAGTCGAGGGTACATAATTCATAATTCATGCGCAGCCACGCTACGCCATCAGTCATTAGATCTACTTGATGAGTAGTCCCTGGAAGCTTTTCCATAGCTATTTAGCACTTGTGCAGAGCATACATTTTAAAAGCGATAATTCAAAAACTTGGAAAGTCGCAACAACCACTAAAACACTTCACCTGGGCAGAGTGATCTTAAAATAGCTCGGAAAAATTATCTCAATCGCTTCAATAAAAACTACTCTCTACTACCCCGAGAATAGTATAGTGCTCGTTAAAAATCCACTCGTTGAATATTTTATTTTTTTCCGCAATATCTAGATAAGCTTACTGTGTACCACGGACTTTTAAAAACATTTTTATTTTTAATGCCCTGTATATAATATAACTGTTGGCTAATAATTTAACTACGCTGAATTGTATAAGCTTTAAATCGTAATTACACCGTGTCCTGATAAATTATAAATAATCACTGGAATTGTTTTTTAAAATTTGTTTTATCAAATTATTTGAATTTGTGTAAATTTTTTTGAATACAGATTTATTACCCGAGCTTTTAAAGTTTCCAAACTTTTTTTTAAGAAAAATAAAGGAAACTTACTTGCAACCAATCATACATATTGATCAATTTCCTTGACTCCAAATGCAGCTTGTAAATAATGCTGAGGTCGGGTAACGTCGGTAGAATCGTTTGCTCGGTTTCGAATTTGCAGCAGCCGCACTGTAGGTTAGAAAATTAATAGAATAGACCAGTGGCAATGCCAATACAATATACATTTTAAACGGATGGCTCTACTGCGGAACAACCAGTTTAGTGTGTATAATAAAGAGCTATGCCAGGAGACAAAGCGTGTGGAATGGCCCGGGAGGTAAATAGAGATAGACACAGATAGAGGAATAGGAACATTTTAGGACATTTGCAATTCATTGGATAGTAAACGGATGAATGCTGCTGGTGGATTATTCCGACATACTAAATTTCATACATCCCCTTCATATTTTAATGCTACATATTTATATTTATATATACATAACATGCATGATGAATAGAGAGGAAATTTGAAATTCTAAAGAGTTCAAATTCTTCATTTTAATGTTTTTAATTAACGAAAATTACTAAGGCTATAAAGATAAATTAATAGGGTAAAAAACTATTGCTAAAGTTTAATTTCATCAAATTGGAAAATATTAAATTTTTTTTTTTTTCAGTATTTAGATAGATTAATAAGAGCCTATTTGATAAGCTTTCAAAAATTTTGAAAGTATTTAATTGATGTAATATTGAAGCTTATTGATCTAGCAAAATATATAGCTATATAAATTGAAGCTTATTTAATGAGCTTTCAGGTAAAATTTACAGCTATTTAGTAAGTTATTTTATTCAATAGCTATTGCGGGGAGAGACAGTAAAAATTGGAATTTTTCGCTGTAATTAATAATTTTTTCAAACTAAATTAGAAGAATAAAATATTTTTAAAAAATTGCACTTACAGTTTTTAAAGTTTTTGACAAGTGAAAAATTTTTTTTTAATTTTTTTGTAATCATTTTTTCAATAAAAAAAATTATAAAAATTTTTAGATGTCGGCTAACTTAATTTTCATAAATTAAATTAGCCGATATCTGAAAATTTTAATAATTATTTTTATTGAAAAAATTGTTACTGTAAAATTAAAAGAAAAAATTTCACATGTAGAAAATTAAAAAAATTATACATGCAATTTTTTTAAAGTATTTTTTACTGGCAATTTAATTGTTAAAAAAAAAATAGAAAAATTTTTGAACGTCGGCTAACTTTATTATCATCCCATTTTATATTATTTTACCGTGCAATTATACATATTGAATGAAAAAAAATGATTAAATATTATTTGATCTTGCCATTTGACATGTTAATCAATAAAAATTTAATGAAAATTAACTTCTATCTTTATATAAAATATTTTTTTCGTAGAAAAAAAATTTTAAATTACTCACATTTAAATAAATCGACGGATCATTCAATCCCGTGTGAATAACCGCCCGTAATGAACCTCGTAAATGATGTTTCCCGGCATTTGCGTCGCTGAAGCAAAATATTTCACTGCAGGGCAAACGGTTTGGATTTTTTAAATACTCCATAAACAAATCATCATTTAAATAATTCATCAAATTCAATTGCGCTTGTTTAAATTCCGACTTTGAAGACTTTTGCGCTTTATTCAGTAAATTCTAAAAATTAATTATTAAGAATATAATCAATAATCACTATTAATAATAGTGATTGTTTATCACAAATTATACTAAGTAAATTACTTCTCTAAATGAAGTCCGACTTATTTTCATAGTCGGAGTTGCAACTGGAGTAACTTCTGATGAAATTTCCAAACTGGCTGCTTTTATTTTTTCTAAATGCATTTTTAAATTTTCTATAACTCCATTGAAATTTATTTCTTCGGTGTGGTTATCTTCTATTATTTTTATTATCTTCTCTAATTTTGTTACTAATTCGGATTTCGATAGAAAATTTAGTAGTTTTATACATTCTTTGTATTCTTGAGTTTCTGTTAAATCACATGTCACTGCTGTTGCATATATTTCACGTAGCTTAAAAAAACGAAATAATAATAATAATAATAACTAGTAACCTTGCAGTCACTATGTGACTGCCATTACTTGTGAATCATAAATAAAATTTTTCTTTATTAAATAATGACTTGTTAAATTGCACTGTACTTTCTTAAATATTGACGATTTTAAAGATATAAGCTCATCCTGATGTTACACTCATCAAGAGCTTTCATTTGAGTACCCACATGCATTTTTGATATATTTTATATATATACATATATATATAATATATATAAATATATAAAATATATGAAAAATTGATGTGAGTACTCAAATGAAAGGTCTCGATGAGTGTAATGTCGGAGTGAGCTTATATCTTTGAAAATGTCCATAGTTAAGAAATTATATTGTATTTTGTCAACTAATGATCTTAAGAACAAAAAATAATTCATATTCATCCTATACACTTTTAATTAAACTGAATGTCAGATTGTACAAACTCTTATTAATTAAAGCCAGTGAAATATTCAGAGAAATAAATAAGTAAATAAATAACTTAGAACCGTACCTGTTTACCCAACGGCGATCCGGGAAGAGAAGAAACCAAATAATGCAAGCACTTGAGAATAATAAAAAATCCACTGGTAGAGTCGTGAAATTGTTGTAGAAACTTTCCAACCAGCCATTTTAAGCTTTCGTCGTCCATGTCCTCTTTTCCTTTTATTTTATGCTTCTCCGTGTATTTTACGACTGAGGGTAACCTTCTGATGTCATCTAAATCTTCGGTTGATAATTTTCCGATCGCTTGATCGATAGTTTTACGGTTGCAGCACAATGAGGTCAGGTTGTTGCCGAAAAAGTGTTGGAACATACATAACTACAAAACAAAGCTCTAAATGTTAATAGAAGAAATTTTGTCGATAGAAAAAAGAAAATAATTATCTAATGTACACTGTAAGGATGAATTAAAAAATAATTTTAATATGTTAATTACAAGAAATTAATTTTATTTACAATTCAATTTTAAAGCTCGTTTAAATTTTCCCGCGAGTATTTTTTCCATACGAATTGAACGCCCTCTTTCGTTTCGATAAGTGAATCATAAAAAAGAACCAATTAAAGACTGTATTACCTTTGGTCAGCCAGCGAACACAATTGAGTATAGTATCAGCTGTCTTCAAGCTGTATTTACAAATAAATTTTTATAAATGGCTGCTCAAAGGACAGAAAATTTCTCCAACTGCCAGCCGAAAAAAATTAATTATAATTAATCAAAACAATATTAAGCTTTAATTTTCAATACGCAACTTCCCATAAGGCAGATGAAGAGATTAAAAAATAAATAGAGTTGAAAAATTTATTTTTTCAAAAGTTATCGTGTTTGCCCCTCGATAAAAACTTTAAAAATCCACACCAGCCATTAAAACGGCTTTTTTTTATGGAAAAATAGCAATCAATCGATTTAAAAAAAATTTTTATAAATTCAGCGATCATTTTTCTTTCTAACAGTGTGTTTTTGCATCATTTATATGCGCATTATAATTACCAGCTACAATTATCGCAATATATTACCTTGTAGCCTTGCAAAAAAGAGTCGACGGAAAAATCATAAAACAGAAAAATATCCGTCAATAATTGAAACGCGCGTCCTGTTAGCATAAAAGGGGTTTTTCCGGAGAAAACAGTGCCCTCCAAAATGTCCGACAAACTTTTAACTTGCGTTTGCGTGTAAAAAACCTGAAAAATTAAATAAATAAATAAAAACACAAATATGAAAAACAAATTAGCAATTCATGTTTTTAAATTTTAACAGAGTTACACTATATATATTTAGCGAAGTAGAAAGAACATAAATAGCGGAATATCTGGAGGAAAATAAAATAGAGAAGCTTTAAGTTTATTCAGTATTTAGTTTGTTTTATTTTTGTTGCTCATCGCTATTTACAACAACCGTGAATTAAACGCCAGGCGTATTATACTTATCTAAAAGTTTTTACTTGCTTTAAAAATAATTGCATATGAAAATTTTATTCTGTTTAGTTTTGGTTTTGTTTACCTGAACTCGAAGTTTGGACGTCGCGTCATATGGTAATGATCTGTGAACTGCGTGGAGAGTTGTTGCAACTCCGAAAATTAGTACGAATTTCATTGTTCTCCTGTATGAGCTGAAATTTTTTTCAGTTTAAAATAAATCATTTTTTTTTTTTCCAAACATCTATTAAAGTTAATAGTTATATAAATAAATAATTATATTTGGTCGGATTTAAATTTTTCTTCTTAGAATGTTAAATCTTCTAATCTGTAAAACATTTAAATTGACACCCATATATTTACCTCAACACCAATATAAAGTCATGTAGTATAATCGGATTAAAACTTTCAAAATCCGGGATTACAATAACCAGCGGAGTGTCCGTACATTGTTCTTTGTACCAAGCCTCTAATACTCTCAAAGTACACTGGCTTTTTTTGACAATCGGGACCTTTAACACAAATATATTTCTAGTTATAAATGTATTTATCTCGGTTGAAAAATAATAAACTGATTTTTTTAATGTTTCAAGTCTCTTTTGAAAATATTTCAGTAAATTAATTTTGAAATTACGGCTTTCCTATTGGTCGTAAGGGAAAATTAAAAAAGACATTTTTTTTTTATAAAAATTGAATTTTAAACTTTTTAGTTAAACAATTTTTTTATACGACCAATGTTTTTGTCATAATATTGATTATTGCACGACTTATGATGCTGCGATTAAATATTTTAGTTTTTATTTAACTTGATAATAATTTTCTTTTAATCAATATTTTTCCAAAAATAATAGTAATTTCATGAATTAAAATATTTAAACTAAAATATAAATATTATATTTAGGTATCTTTTTATTGAGTTCATAATTTTTAATACAGACTCAATCATTTTGCTTATCGAATATAGTAATTCTATCCATATTTTTTTAAATTCATATTATAGACCATTTTAATAATTTTCCGGAATTTTGTTGGAAACAAAATTTAGTTTCGTACTACAATATTTGTCTTTTAATTCATGTATACATTATTTTTGAATAAATATTAATTAAAAAGATATTATCACTAGGTTAAATAATAAATAATGAATTATTTTATAAGAAACATAATATATTTTAAATAAATAATTAATGATACTAAAGTTACACAGTAAAAAATTTTGCGTCATTGCGTCAAAAAACTTAGTGTTAAAAA